TCTTTTGGTTTCAAGACACCATTTGAAATTTACGTCTTGAACCCCCTTTTGTTATTTTTCTCTATCATGCATTAATTACAGTATTTTTTGCAAATAAAGATTAATCCTGATGGGCGGGATGAAATCTGAAAATAGTCTCTTCTGTTCAGAAATCCATGTATGATTAGAAGGGACTTTTAAGGCACGTAATGTAGGTCATGATTCATGGTTATGAAAGAAAAAGATAAATAGGCCCAAACAAGTATTTCAGGGTATTGAACCAATGATCAATTCATTCTGATGTCTTCAATCATATCTTGCTCAATTTGAATATGCTTGTATGTGTCTCTCTATTGATGCTCTATGATCTTCGAGTGGAGTGATTCGATGATTTAGAAATGATTGTGCTTGATCAATCTCATTTGATGCTCTTTGATCTTCGAGTGAAGTGGTTCAGTGATTCGGAAATGATTATGCTTGATCAATCTCATAGTTTGAATCTTGATGCGTTGTTTGAATCGAGGGAATCTTTGCATATGCATCTTGTCTTCTTTTTTCTTTAATTTTTCTTTGTTTTTTTCTTTGCTTTTTTTCTATTTTTTCTATTTTTGTTCTGATTGAATCTTCACACTTGGCATTTGGTTCACCTTTCAGAATTTCATCTGAATCAATATCTGCACTCATGCGAGCAGATTTTCTCCACCTTGCCCCCCAGTGTGGAGGGTGATCCTTGGTTAGGGTTGAATCAGAAGAAAAATACTATAAACTCAAAAGGGGACACAAGGGATATATATTTTCTCCTGTTTTGAAGGGGTAAAGAAAGAAAGTTGTTTATCATTTCATACATGGAAGCTTTCACAGAAGAGGTATCCCCAGGGGGATAGATTTTCAGAATTAATTTTATTCACATAAAAACAGTGTAATTAATGCATGATAGAATTATTTCGAGTGAATTCTTCTTTCTATTTCTTGCCCCTAACATGTCTCAATGTTCAGGCTTCCTGCGAGATGCCCCAAGTTGTGTCTTAGAAGAATGCTCATGTTCAAATGAACAACTCAATGCCTTGGGTTTTAATGGTATAAAAATGTCAATTTTGAGTCTAAAAAGACAATGGTGTGACTTTATTGATTCAAAGAAAGGTATGGGTGTATCAAAAAGATAAAGACATTGTTAAAAAAAAATCAAAGGGAGTAATGTCAAAATTTGGTCTTTTTGGTAATGACCATGAGTTATTTTGGGTAAAGAATCAAGGTATTTTATTTTGGGGTTTGAGACAGGATAAGAATGGTTGAATCTTGCCATATGTTAAAAATCTATAATTCTTGAAGAATTAAAAGAATTCTTAATTTATTTAATATTCGAAGAACTAAAGATTAAAATTTGTTCAATTACTCCACCTTAGAAAGTAGCATAAATTCAATCGTTTAAAAGATTAAGCAAACAAGAAAGATCAAAGACGTGTTCAAACAAAACAATCCTCTAAGTGCAAATGATATACGCAATGCCCTCTTCTTCGCCTGTCTATGCCTCTGAATCCATCAAGTTTTGGATCTCGCGCTTCAGCGCCTTATAGTTCTCAGAGGAATGTTTGGGGGTTCCTATGTGGTAACTACAAAAAGCTTCAAAATCGTAGCCCTTAGGAGATGTGGACTCTTTTCTCAGATCATCCTGGTAGGCTTAGTCGTACAACTAGCAGATCGGGCTCATTCGTTGTGATTTCAGTTTTTTTCTTTTGATGATACAATCTTGCTTCCATGTGGTGTCATGTGGTTAAAACCACTTCATCGAATTCTCCATGAAGAAATTTCATGTTTATGAAAATGCTTAAAAAATGAAATGTATATGCAAAATGCAAAATGCAAAATGCAAAAATGCATGAAATGTTCGAGGCATTGATCCAAAAACATGTATGTTATTATAAATAATCTTTATTGGGACAAAAGTATTTTATCTTTTAAGAGACAATAAACATATTTAAAGGTACATCTGGACTAAATCCTCTAGACCCAGAACAGGTTGACTAGTCATTTGCCTTTGTCTTTCACCGATTGAATAAATTGTCAAACCGCTCCGGCCTCTCTGGATGAACCGTGAAAATGTTGAGTTATTTTTTGTACTTGTTCCTAGAAGTATCGAATGACTGCATCTCTGACTTTCATCCTTTGCTGAACATGTTCTATAACGGAAACATCATTGAAATCCTCCATCAAAGGGATTATCTGAAGTTCATTGAATTTGTCGACAATGGCTTCCAATTCAGCTATCATTTTGTCATCTTGTTCTTTTTGTCTTTGAAGGGACTCTCGAGGTCAGTAACCTTTTTCTCATCTTGCCCCTGCCATCTTTGTCAACCCATTTTTGAAAAGTTGACTTTTGATCTATTTGATTATGGGCACCATGTCTTCTTGATCGAATGTGACACATAGTTGTCTTGCAAATTGTCCTAATTTTCTTTCTGAGTCTTTTCGGACCATAGTCTGACCCCTGTATTTTTCACCTCTTGTATTACAACCCCTTTGTCCATTAATGCAGATTATTCATGTTTTAACAAACACGTTTTTGGTGGATCAACACCTCTTTTGAATGATGTAAATGAAAAAAAATGCCAAAGAGCAAAAATAAAAGGAAAAAAAGTTAGTGAAATAAGGATAAAAATAAAAAAAAATGATGAAAATAAAGAGTCCTACCCCACATGCTTATTATTCCTACCTGGACATGATCTCTATCCCACATGCTAATTTCAAACAAATCCTAACCGCATATTAGTCTAGTTCGCATGCTTTGAACAGAAAATAAAGCAAGAAGTAAAGCAACCTAGGGTTTGGAAATGAGGTTTTGGGGTGGGCTCTAATTCTCCATCGTCTCCCGGGTTAGGTTCTAAAAAATGGTTCCCGAGTTCTCCTTGCTGGTGCCCCCTTGGGCTTGCCAGACCCTTAGTCATAAACCCATTACAAACTTGTGTGGACTAAGTTAAACTCGAGATGATACATTCCCTTATGCCCATACGGAGAATAAATTCACACGAAGACATACGGTATATGAATCCCGAAGGTTACTTGCTAGGCCCATACGGTGAATAAATTCACACGAAGGCGTCGCTTTCACCCCCCACTTAAAAGGGTTCGGAGCTCGGGTATAGAGTCAAAGATGGAAACTTTTTCAAAAATCTGAAATCATTGAAAAAACGTCAGTACAACTATTTACTTGAAAAAAAATCAAAGATAAATAATTAGAATCGAATAAATAAATTAAAATTTAAACTTGTAATTTTCGCTAAAAAAAGACAACCGACAATTAATTTCGACCTGACTCACTTACTTGTCCCCAACGGAGTCGCCAAGCTGTCATAACCGTCTTTCGGTTGGGCCCCGAATTGGGCTTCGACTTAAAATAATTGGGTTGGGAGTCACCACCGACCACTTTAAAACGAATTTAGGTGGGTCGGACACCATTTTACCTGATCTACGTTTTTACCAGAAATGTATCGGGTTCGGGAGTCGGTTACGGTCAAGGAAGGATTAGCACCCTTGAACCATCCTTTCGGTACCAATTAATTTGCAGGTTGTCTTAAATTAAGAAAATTGTAATTTAAAATTAAAAGGTAAAAATATGATCACAATTACTTACCTTAGATGGTTTTAAAGGTGTGGTCTTAAGAAGGTCAAAAAACCATGTTAGATAAAAAGGTAAAAAATAAATAAATAAATTAAATTAAAATGAAGAAAAAACAAATTAAATAAAAGATAAGATAAAGAAAGTAAAGATAAAATAGTAAGTAAAATAAATATAAAAAAAATAAAAAATAAAGAAAAAGAAGAAAAAAATATATAAATAAAACAAATAAATAAAATAATAATAAAAAAATAAAAATAATATATATATATAATCTAAAAAAATAAAAATATATACTAAAGTAAAAATGAAAATGCATAAAATGTAAAAAATGTAAAAAAATATTACATGAAAAAAAGAAAAGAAAAATAACAAAACAATTAAATAAAATGAGTAACAAGAGAAATGTGCGTATAAATAAAGTTAAATAAATAAAATAATAATAATTAAAACATAAATGTAAGAGACCGAATTAAAAGTAAAAAAAGATGATACATTTTATTTCCTTTTCGAATCGTTTACAATAGCTTTGCCTTTGTATTTTTCGTGCTTTCATCTATATTTTGTATGTAAATCGTGTGTTACAAATGAGGAGAATTACATGTATTTATAGTGAAAAAAATTAACTATTTTTAGAATCCTATTAATAATAGAATCCTAATGCAACTAGACTTCTTGCTCGGTTATTGCACGTTTGTTGGTGTGGTTGTTGCTTTAAAAGATATGGTGGTGGAAGAGTCCTCTTAAGAGAGAAATTCTTGCTAGTTCTATCTTTTAAGAAAATGGGTGTCTGCAGTATTATTAACTCTTATTTATGTTTACGGATTTATATCAATTTTCTGATGATGCATTTTATAATCCGAAAATTTCATGATTTTTGATAATCTAAATTAGTGGTCTTCAAGATTCAATCGTAACGTCATACCGAATTTAAGGAGTTAAATTACAGCTATATAACAACCGCTATTTTAATAACGAACGGCTATTTAAATCCCGACAATAGTTACGCTGCACGATTAATGGTCCAAAAAGTCTTTACAGCAGCAAAATATTCTCTTCTAGATGAGGCCAATTTTGGTTTTGTCCTCCTCATGCAACCAATATGACGTTAAAAAGGATTCACTTAAACCACCAGACTGTTTATAACTTCATGGATTCGTTTGTGCTGTTGTCCCCTCCAATGGCCACCCCATCCCACGTTAAAAACCTACGCGTTTTAATTTTATTCCTTAAGACTTGCCCAGCTATCTCCCATATTTCCGCACAATCAGCATAAAGCCCCACAATTACAGTGGCTTGGTCCCAACAGCTCAACTGGTTTGATTTTGACTGCCCTCTATTTATTCCACTTCAATCACCCCCTCTCCATTTCCATAAACAACACTTTTCAAGGTTCATTTCCCATTCACACTCCTCTTTTTCGTTCCTATTTTCACTTCCGAGTTGATGGAGTTTGTTCTTTTCATGTGCAGGGAAATGGGGCTTTTGTGGTTTGTTGTTCTGGTTGTATCACTTGATCAAGTCATCAACTTCGTCCATGGTTTTCCATGGAATCATCGCAATCATGCCCATCGAGGATACCATGGACCATGGATCAATGCTCATGCCACTTTTTATGGAGGCGGCGATGCTTCTGGAACAATGGGTACATTCTCTTCCTGACATACCTAAAATATAAAATAATGCGTTCATCCCTGCGATGAAATTTGGGTTGACATTTTGGGTTATTTTGGTGTAGGTGGAGCATGTGGGTACGGTAACCTGTATAGCCAAGGATATGGTGTTAACACGGCAGCATTGAGTACTGCATTGTTCGACAATGGGCTGAGTTGCGGTGCATGTTATGAGCTGAGGTGCGTGAACGACCCAAAATGGTGCCTGCCTGGTTCCATCGTGGTCACCGCCACTAACTTCTGCCCACCGGGTGGCTGGTGTGACCCTCCTAATCACCACTTCGATCTCTCTCAGCCTATTTTCCAACACATTGCTCAGTACAAAGCTGGGATTGTGCCCGTCATTTATAGAAGGGTGAGATGCAGGAAAAGAGGGGGGATAAGGTTCACCGTCAATGGACATTCTTACTTCAATTTAGTGCTTGTAACCAATGTTGGAGGCGCCGGTGATGTTCACTCCGTCGCCATTAAAGGTTCAAGGACAAGATGGCAACCGATGTCAAGGAACTGGGGCCAAAACTGGCAAAGCAATGCTTACCTCAATGGCCAAAGCTTGTCGTTTCTGGTTACAACCAGCGATGGCCGCAGTGTTCTGTCTTACAACGTTGCTCCACCGGGTTGGTCCTTCGGTCAGACTTACACCGGCCGACAATTTCGGTTTTAAGTCCTAGATTTCAATAACTGTCGTTACACAGAGGTTATAACCGTTGTTTAGGCTGATGTTTTAAGTACAAAATAAGGAATTTTTATTTTTAGTTTTTTGGTATGCCAAAGGCACGCTTTTACCTTGCTCGTGAAATGCCATTGAAAAGGCTTCTTTCGTAGGTTTTGATTGACGTGTATGGCTTTTTTTTTCCTACTTTTTGAACAATTATTGAGAAAGATTCAGCAATTTGTGACGATGGAAAGATCTTTTGTTAATTAAGTATGCAAGATATATATCTGTTTTTTCTAAGGTAATTTAATTATATGATCATCTTAAAATTTAAATTTTTTTTATATTAATTGTTTGTTGTATTGATGTTGTCCATTTTTAAAAAAAATTTATATACATCGTATATAAAAAAAATCTACTATTATTCTTTTGGTTGTCCTCTCAACTCTCTAGGGTTTTTATCATGATTAATTCAGACCGATATAAATTACACATTTGACTTTAATAAATGAATCTTTAAATAAAAATTTTCTACACATGTAAAATCTCAAACTCAAAATTTACTAAAATTTACTTAAATCAATCTATTAATTAAAATTCTATTATTAATATATATATATATATATATCTTAATCATAAACGATATTTTTAATTCATCATTAAATATGTATATCATTATTTTGATGGGTTGACTACGTGGAAATTGTGGTTTTAGGAACTGTCGGCAGATTTTTTTTATTATTTTGACGAAAAGGTTGAACACCCACGTGAATGTACAATGTTATTTTCTTACAATGACAGACAAAAAGTGCACTAAATTTCATTGATCTTTTCTTTCAAATTTAAGTCGTTGGTCCAACAACTTTTCATTATTTGTCCCATTCATCTTATATTTAAATATGATTATAAATAGTAAAAATATATTTCAAGTTATTTAATAATGTGTTTGGTGATAAACGAATTATCTTTTAAAAAATTATAAACATGTTACTCATTTAAAATATTATTACAAACAAATAAATTTATCGTTAAAATTAAAATAAACGTCTAATGTGATTTGATATAACAATATTTTAATTCTTCAAAACTTATCTATTCTATGATTTTTTTCATACTAAAATCAATTCATCAAATATAAGCTTTTATATTTAAAAATTTCATCAATTTAATATTTTTTTATATGGTCAAACCAAGCGAGTTTATTGGATCAAACCAATAGTTGGATAACTATATTATGTCATGAACCAACAAGTTTCTTTAAACGGTAAGTATACCAAAAAAGTAACAACGAATGAATGGTTAAATTTATTAAATTAATTTATATTAAGATCAAATTGATATATTGTATAATTTTTAGGACTAATATTGTTATTTACCATGCTATATCATTATTTCGTCTAATATTTAACAATCAATAATTTGTTTATAATAATATTTTAATTACGTGATATATTTATAATTTTTTTTAAAAATAATAAATTTATTACAAAAATATAATTTAGAATGTATTTTACTCATTATAAAAATATGTAAATATAAATTTTTTTATATTATTGATCAAAATTTTGACTTGATCTAATCCTTCCTCCATGGAGACAATGGCTAGGAACCAAGCGCTGTTTCCGCCTTCATTCCCTGCTTTGATATTCATAGGTGGCTTCTTTGTCAAAAGGAAAAGAAAATGACATTTCCCAAAATTTAACATTCACAACTAAATTTGTCAATTGAGTTAGTTGAATTAGGGATGAGTTTCCATAACATCAATTTAAATAGTTTCGTGTTCACATGGACTGAGTCAGAATTGAACTATGATGGGATAAATTATTTAACTTCAAAATAATTTTGAAACTTAAAGGTTCTAAAATATAATTAAACGAGACAGATTTGAGATTAAAGCTTAATTTAATTAATTTTAAAATTGACAGTATCCTAAAAATAATTATACCAGAAAATTTGGGAATGACAAGGACATAATTGTAATAGTTTTAAAACTACTAGTGACTTAAGATAAAATTAGACCATCAAAGTTTGAGGTACATTCACCCTTCCACCTATAACATGGATTTGTACCCGCATGTTCATATGATTTAAGTTTAAATTATTTCTCTTTTTTAAAAAGGTTTGAATTGAACTCCTCAGTGGTTTCGGTAGTAAAATAGAATGTTGTTATTCTTAGAAGTTCTGAGTTCAAGCAGTTGCGTTTGTAGGGTATGTGTGCATTGTCAATAGGTTAAGAAAGTTATGAATATATACTACCTTGTAATCACCTCATACTACTAAAAAAAAGTTTGGATCAATTTAATTTTTATTTTTTTTATTAAATTTAAGTTATTTTGATTTTAAATTCAAATTATTTCAATTTTAAATTGATTCAATTTTTTTAAAAATTCTAATTATTTTAAGTTTAAATCATATAAATTTAACACTCAAATTATTTGAATTCAGATTTTTTTTCAAATTAAAATTTATAATTTTATTGAGACCTCATTTTACCAGAAAGTCAGAATAAAGAGATGTTTTTGGGATAATGAAAGCCAGGTTGGCTAAGTGGACATATGAAAGTGGATGATATCTAATCAAAGATATGGAAAATTTGGGCAATGCATCCATTTATTTAAGTCTCTTGACTTAAGTACGAAATAAATGATCTTAGTAGTTAATATTTTTTTGTTATTACTAAAGGTCCTGAGTTTTAACAACGTGTATGTAAAGATATGATGGTTCATTATCAAAATAATTGAATCTTTAAAATATATTACCTTATATTCCCCAAATTTATATAAAAAAAAACTCACATCTTACTCTCAATTGATTGAAACAACAATATTATTATTCAATGACTTAGAAACTATTTTAGTAAAATATTTGAAAACCATTAATACTTATATTTGAGCGTAATTAAATCTATTATAAATATAATAGATTTAGTATTAGTAACTTTGAGAGAGTTGTACGTTTTGTGATTAGCGAGTTTCACTAAATTCTTTATAATTTTAATATATCTCAGTCAACAATTTAACTTTAAGCTCAGACAACCACAAATTTTCTAATGAAAAAAGATAAGTTTGTAATATATGAATAATCAAATGATCATTTTGTAATTTTTAACAGCCAAATGACTCAATAAAACAATACTCTTTAATCTATAGATCATTTGATAATTTTTAGTAGTCGATAATTCAATAAAATAATATCTTATAGATGAAAACCATTTGTCTACTTTACCTAAAGTAAATTTACTTTTTAAAAGTATATATTGCCCAAGTTTGTCATGATTTATGGGAGAAATAAGCAGCTCATAAATGCCGAGTATGTTGTAATTAGTCGGTGGGCCTATAAGCCCATCAATTGGCCCATACGGTATACACTGTAAAACGGAAGGTGACAAAGTGGTACTGTGGTAGTTTTGCTTAGGGATGGCAATGGGTCGGGTCGGGTCGGGTTTTTGGACCACCCGACCCGACCCGAGAAGAAAGGGTTCTCCACCCGTGACCCGACCCGAACCGACCCGACAAAATTAATGTTTCACCCGACCCGACCCGACCCGAATATATGACTTAGAAACCCGACCCAACCCGACCCGAAATAATAATAAAAAAATTTAATTCAATGAAAACAGTGACTTAATTGAAAAAAATTATATATGGAGGGATATTATTGTAATTATCCCTAAATATATAAGATAAAATTATATATATTTTTCGGGTCGGGTTTTTTTTACCCTAAACCCGACCCGACCCGAACAGTGCATTTAAAAAAAAAACCCGACCTGAACCCGAATTTTTTTAAAAAAAATCCGACCCGATCGGGTCAGGTCGGGTCGGAACCCGTCGGATTCGAGTTGAGTTGCCATCCCTAGTTTTGCTGTGCAGCAATTAATATGCGACTAAAAAAATGGTGTAACATGTTTGAATGGTTATCGGTAAACGAAAAATTGTAAAATATCAATTTAAAATATATCAAAATCATAACAAATTATGTAAAAGAATGATATTTTCTGTTGTAACTAAAAATATTACACGAGTTTCAAAATTGATTCAAATTTAATATTAATGGTAATATTTTTTGTTGTAATTGAAAATGTTATCCCCTTACATAATTTGTTATGATTTTAATAAAATTTTAGGTTAGAACTTGAAATGTTACGAAATAAAATTAAAATGTTAAATGTTTGGTAACATTTCCGGTTATAATATAAAATCTTACATGAGTTTGCGAATTACGACAAACTTAATTTGATGATAACATTTTATGTTATAGCCGGAAATATTATCCATTTTACGTACTTTGTTATGATTTTGGGTAACATTTTTAACCGAACAACCTAAAATGTCACATATTTGGATAACATTTTCGATTGCAAAATAAAATATTATGTGCGTTTCTAAATTGTTTCAAACTTAATTTGAATGTGACATTTTAGATTACAGTCGGAACTGTTACCCCTTTAACATAATTTGTTATAATTTTAGGTAATATTTTGGGTTACAACTGAAAATGTTAACCTGAACAATCTAAAGTGTTAAATGTGATTCAATACTTATTTCACAATAACCATCAATACTTATAACTAGGTATTATACTTACCGAGACTTAAAATTGAGATTAACATTTTAAGTTACAATCGGAAAAGTTATCCTTTACATACTTTGTTATGATCAACCTAATATTTTAGGTTGTAACCTAAAATGTTACCTAGTCCAACCTAAAACGTTATATATTTTGGTAATATTTTACAACCTAAAATGTTAAATGCGATTCAATACTTATTTCACAACAAGTATCGATACTTATAATTAAGCATTTATCGTGATCTAAAATTGAGATTAACATTTAAGTTTTAAAATATAACATTTTATGATATATTTTCCGGGTGCATTCATTTGTTTTCAAATGATTAAGTACCAATACTTAATTTCTAGTATCAAAACTTATAAAAAGAATAATGCATACAACTCATCTCAAATATTGCCCAAATTGTGTATTGAGTAATAATACAAATTTCCTTTCACTAATTTTTTACTCCAATCAGCAATAAAATACTATTACTTAATTAAATAAATTTTCGTAATCTATTTCTCATCCACAATTTACCTAACCATTCATAATTTAACATGCATATCTTTCTTTGGTTACGATGAATTAGCGGAGGGATACAATTATTCGTCTTAGGCGAATAACCCACGATCATGTTCTATTTTCATAAATCATACAATACCATTGAGAGGATACAATTTACTCTTTAATTGAGCTATGATTCTATATTTATAAATGTAATTATATCATGTATGAGATACATATTCAACATATCAACCATCATGTTACAACCATGAGACGTATCAGTTATTGTTATATCAAAATATGCAAGTTACACATACATGGTTCTACATGTACTCAAGATTAAGATAAATATATCTTGAACGTCACAAGTGAATTTAATATATAAATGAATTTAAGATTAATTTATCTTGGACCCAATCCAATGTGTTGTTAGTCCTGGTTAATGCACCTACGTCTCTACTTAGGAGTCAACTTGTTCGGTTAGCAAATATAAGCTATCTCTTCTTGGGACTTTAGATGACATAATAGTCCTAATATGAACTATGAGTCCATACTAATACATATATGTATCTACTTACAAGCCAAATTGAATCTCATGGAATAAGTGATTATTTTTCAAATTATAAGGGGACAAGTGAAACTTTTTACCAAATCTTGTGGGTGAAGGTGTCTTTTATGTTAATAAATAAATGATCCTAAAAACCAAAGCTGAGAAAGGGAAAAATATTGTCTGAAACAAGGGTGGCAATGGCCCCTTCCCAGTTTTACTCCATTAATGATTAAAAAGAAAGAACATGGGAAACCTAAATAACAGTACAACTTGAGCTTATACTTATGGTTATTAACGTGTGTACATGAAAGGTCCCTTTTAGATGCAACACAAACTACCTGTGAAACTCGAATGAATTATTGATATTTCAATGGCCTCCTACCCAACTAAATGTTACCCTATCAATCTTCAACCTTTGTACGGCTTTTCATAATTTCCCCATTCATTTCTGACCATCTTTTTCCACTTGGATTTATTAACGTTGCCAACAACTATGACTCAATTTAATATTTATGAAAGATTATATATATTTGTATTCGACATTCACGTTGAATTTTTTTAGGTAAATACAAATAGCTAGTTTTATTAAAAAAGAAAATTCAAAATTATATTGACAGTTTACAGTGTAAACTAAACATATAATTATAACTTTTCCTATAATCATTGACACAGAACTAGCCACTTAAGATTTCTCAAGGACCGTACAAGAAAAATGTTAAAAACTCATCTAAAAAACTCGAAACAAAATAAAAATGCAAAGTCTAAAAAAACGAATTCATTAGGATAATCTAATCGTTGAGGCGCACGATACGATACTCTCCGGGTGCACGATAGCAGGTCTATCGAACCCACCGATTCTCGTCCCGTCGCCGGCGATTCAGTCCGTTTTTCAGTGCGATTCATCTATCTAGCATTTCCCATTCCTCATCCAAGAGTAATGGACTGGCGTAAACTTTTTGGGTGTCAAGCAGGGCACGAACTTGACTATTCTCCACCAGAAAAGAGCGATAAATCCCTAACTGTTCAACCTCCCCTTGAGGTCCTAGAGGCTAGTACGGCTGAGTGGAGAAATTCTCTGGTGGGTCAGTTCTTAGGGGCTGCTCCAAATTTCATCTCCCTCCAACGAACCATCGATAAACTCTGGAACCAGACTTCGACAGGAGCTCGCGCGCAGGTAAGTCTCGAAGGTAAAAATCTCTATATTTTCTCCTTCAATTATGATGTTGCTAGGGATTGGGTTCTTGAGAATGGCCCGTGGCATATTCTCAACAAACCTCTAATCCTTCGAAAGTGGGAACCCAATATGCAAAGACTGAACTTTGATCTTTCCAGATTGCCTCTATGGATACATTTATATAATATTCCATTAGAACTATACTCTAGAGAATGCCTTAGTTACATAGCCAGTGCTCTAGGAATTCCATTAACTATGGACTCTATTACTGCATCGAAAACTAGGCTTGAATATGCTAAGGTATGCATCGAAATAGGAGCAAAAAAAGACATTCCTGAAACTGTCGAAGTTATTCTTGCTAACGGCAAAACTTCCACAATCTTTGTCGAAGTTCCTTGGTTCCCTTATAGATGCAGGAAATGTAGTACATTTGGCCATTCTGATAAAGAATGCATGAACAAAACAAATCCTGCCCCTCCACAAATTAAAATCTGGAGAAAAAAGACACCTCTCATTGATAATGCTATTCATAAAACTGAAAATTTAGAATCCTTGAAGGTTGCTCTGCCTGACTCTTCCTCCTCAAAGGAAATTGTTAACTCTGCTGATAACAATTCAATAACAGAACCATAACCTTTCCTAAAGGAGCAACCTGTTCATGCCGAATCCTCTAATCAACATCATAAAATTTTGAACGAGGAGAATCTTGGAGTAGAATTAGTTAACGATGTTACTCATGAATCTGCACCCATTTCTAATGATACTCCTTAAAATTCAAATCCTAAAAGAGGAAGAGGTAGGCCTTTAAAAATTAAAGCTAAATCAGTTTTAAGAGGCTCAGCAAATAGGTTCGAAAGTCTATCAACAGTTGAAGAAAATTCATCATTAAACGAGATGCCAGTAAAGAAAACAAGGCCAGCTGCTGCTGGAGTTGCTAAATTAATCAAAGAGTTAAAGTCAAAAAAGAAAGAACAAATCCAACAAGTAAAACGTACCTCAGAAGGAAATTCAGAGGGCTCTTCATCATCAATTTCCCAATGATAATTTGTTTTTGGAACACAAGGGGTTTCAATAACCCTCAAAAACAAAAAAAAAGTTCTGAACCGTGCTAATCTATTCAAAGTTGATGTTCTTTGTCTGTTAGAAACTCGAGTAAAACCTAAAAATTCCGCAAAAATCTTCAATACTACTTTAGGGAGTTGGAATGTTCTCACCAATTATGATTCTGCTATTAATGGTAGAATTTGGTTTATGTGGAAAAAAGGAATTGATATTTCTCTCTGTCATTCTACTGATCAAAGCATTACTGCTAATTATATTTTTAATAATACTCATTTTATTATCATTGCAATCTACGGTAGTAATAGTGGATCTTATAGAATATTTCTTTGGCAACACCTCAAAAACCTTAATACTAGGTTTGGATCACTCCCTTGGATTCTGGGAGGTGACTTTAATACCTATCTTCACCATAAAGAAAGCTCTGATTCTCTTCTCCTAGGACCTTATTCTTCCTCTGAAATGACTGATTTTCAAGAACTGGTTCATGATCTTTCCCTTTATGATCACCCTTTCTTTGGCCCTACCTATACTTGGAGCAATAAACAAAAAGATTCGTATCTTGCTAGGAAGCTTGATAGAGTGTTGATTAACACACATTGGGCTGTTTCATTTCAGAATTCTTTTGTCAAATTTACAGCCCCATGTCCTTCAGATCACTGTATGGCTCTTGCCTGGATCAACAAAGAGACTCAAACCAATAGGCCTAAGCCTTTTAAATTTTTCATTTTTTGGTCTAAGCATCCTAATTTCCTCGAACATATCCTCAATTCCTGGCAACAACCTTCCCAAGGAAATCCTATGATGAAGTTGTTTCTCAAGCTTAAACGCTTAAAACCTTGCTTGCAGAAGCTCAACAAGGATAACTATAGTGATATCTCTGTTAGAGTAAGGCTTAAAAAGAAAGAACTAGAACAAATTCAGATTTCAACTCTTAATGGAAACAATTCTTTAGTTAAATAATTGGATGTTCAAAAGGAGCTAAATGATTTAGAGGATATTGAGTACATATTCCTTAAACAAAAAGCGAAAGTTCAATGGATCAAAGAAGGAGATAAATGTACCAAACTTTTTCATTCTACCTTAGCCTCTAAAAATAAAAGAGACACCATTAGGATTCTTATTAATAATGAGGGTAAAAGGCTGGAGACTTAATATGATATGGCTAATGAAATTATTGATTTCTTTCATCATCAACTAGGTGAAACTGATCCTAAAGTTCAACCTCCTGACCCTTTTACCATGAGAAACTTGCTTCAAATCCATCTGCCTACTGAGGTTACTACTGATCTGATTAAAAATGTCACTACTGATGAAATCAAAGAAGCTTTATTTAACCAAGGTAATGACAAAGCTCCTGGTCCTGATGGTTTCACTCCTCTTTTTTTCAAACATTCCTGGTCTGTCATAGGGAATGATTTTGTTGATGCTGTCAAATACTTCTTTCAAGAGTCTCATATCCATCCAGCTTTTAATTCCACCATCATTATCTTGATCCCTAAAACCCATAATCCTAGCACAGTTAGGGACTTTATACCTATCTCTTGTTGTTCTGTAGTCTACAAAACTATAACTAAAATCCTTGTCAAAAGAATGAATCAGCTGTTGCCTAACCTTATATCTCTCAATCAAACCACTTTTGTGAGAGGCAGATCTATCATTGACAACACCCTCCTTGCTCAAGAATTAGTCAAAGGCTATGGTAGAAAGAACATTTCACCTAGATGTGCCCTTAAAATTGACTTACAAAAAGCCTTTGATTCCCTTAATTGGGATTTCATATCCTCAATTCTTAGAGCCATAGGACTACCTCCCATTTTCACAAAATGGATTGAAACTTGCTTCAAAGAAGCTAGATATTCCATTTCTTTTAATGGTAGTCTAATAGAGTACTTTAAGGGTCAGAGAGGTATTAGACAAGGAGACCCCTTATCTCCAATCCTTTTTGTGATAGCTATGAATATCCTCTCAAAAATTCTTAATCTTGCTGCTACTAGAGGTATTTTTGGATACCATCCTAAGTGCAAAAAACTTGGAATTACTCACTTGTCATTTGCTGACGACCTCTTAATCTTTTGCAAAGGAAATCTTGAATATATTGTTGGAGTTATAAGTGTTTTAAATCATTTTTATGTTTTATCTGGCCTGAACCTCAATATTAATAAAACAGAATTTTATGCGGCTGGAATACCAGATAGAACCTTGGACTCCATTAAATCTGTCACTAGTTTTAAACAAGGTTTCCTGCCTGTTAGGTACCTTGGAGTTCCACTTGTTACTCGGAAGCTTACTGAAAAAGACTGTCTACCTCTCTACGATACTATTAAACGTAGGCTTCATCATTGTTCTGGTAAACTTTTAAGCTATGATGGTCGTCTCGAGCTAATTAAAACTGTTCTCTACAGCGTTGTTAACTTTTAGAATAGACAATTCATTCTACCTCAGAAAGTTATCAATTGTCTAGAACAACTTTTCTCTTGCTTTCTTTGGAAAGGAAACGATACATCTGCTAAGGGCGCTAGGATAAGTTGGGATCGACTTTGCTGTCCCAAATCTGAAGGAGGTCTCGGGTTGAAAAACATTCATACCTGGAATAAAGCTTGCATGTTACAACTCATTCAAAAAATAATGGCTGGTGAGGGCTCTTTATGGGTTGCTTGGATTCACTGCTATGTTATTAAAAATAACGATCTAAATGACATTAATGTTAATCCTTCCCATAGCTGGACCATCAAAAAGCTAATAAAAATTAAAAGTGAAGCCTTTTCTTTTTTATCTACTGGTACCACGAATATAAAAGATTTATAGGATAATATAAGAGTTCATAGGGATAAGGTTTCTTGGCATAAGGTGATTTGGTTTCCTTTTCACATCCCAAAGATAAGCATTATCTCTTGGATGGCAATTCTGGATCGGCTCCCTACTCGTGATAGGCTTATTAGAATGAGTATTGCGTCTGAAAGTCTTTGTATTCTATGCAATGAGGATCATGAATCTAGAAATCATTTGTTTGTTGACTGTACTTATGCTACTTCTCTATGGAATTCTATTATGAATCTATCTAGAATGAGAGATACTCACAGGTCTTGGGATTCAAGGCTTCAATGGGTTGCTCAAACATGGAAAGGCAAGTCTCTTCTTTCTACTGTAATGCGGATCGCCTGGACTGCTTTCATATACTTCATTTGGGAAGAGAGAAACAGAAGATTATTCAACAGAGGTACAAGAACAACAGAGCAACTTCTCAAGGCTATAAAGGAGCTTGTTCGAAACAAAATCAGTGACAAGGGTTTTTAATAGAATAGACTATGTTAATTCTAGACTTTGTAATTATTGGGGTATAGACTAACTCTGGTAAATATGTGTTTTTACTCCCATTTGGGTTGATTGATGTATGTTTTGAACCTTTTCTATTTGGGTAATAAAATTCTACTTAACCAAAAAAAATGCAAATAGATCTGACTGCATCGGCAAAAAAAACAACAATAAGGGATCAAGATATTGAAAGACCACCGACAATCGCAAATAAGAATCGAGCGGTGTGAGAAAACTATATTTGAACGCAAATCACATATCTAAATTCATCCGAGGGTCCAAAGCATGACAAATCATAAGGATAACAATACGCGCTATTTTTATCAGTTGAGGTGATTCAAATCAAACCCTGAGAAAATTAAATGATAAGATCGGCCAAACAACCAATAAAAAGACTAAAACGTATCATAAGACGGACAAAAATATACTATAAAGATAGAGAAAAAATGTCATGAAGACATAATTATAAAAAAAAAATCAAATATGTTTATAGAAAAATAAGGAAAGACAATAAATACAGACAGTAAATAACCCACATCAAGATTGATGCCAACAACCAATCAAGAAAAAGTAAGAGAAAAGAAAAATTACATTCACGTCAAAATCTAAATAATATAATTGAGTGATACAACATCGCAGATGTATGGCTTAGATTTGGCCGCTTTATATATATAGTATGATTAACTGTCATGCATGCTGTTTTTAATTTCTTATCCAAATTTGAGCAAAGTGAATTGTTTATTGCTTCGAATTGGCCAGCATGATCATGGCTTCTCTAGGAGGAGCAGGGGGGGGGGGGGCATTAATTAGGGGTGCCTTAAACCAGATATAAGTTTAAACTGGGTACAAAGTTTTTCGTTATGATGGACAAATCTATCTTGTATATTTTTAATCAGATCCAACATTCGAATTGATATTTTGAATTGAGAATCGATAATGTAATAAATTTGGAATACATTATTAGATTAAAATTTATAATTATATTTTTAATGCATATTATCATCATAAAATCAAGTGATCAATTATGTTATAAAAGTTATAAGATATTAGAAATATCATGAAAATAAAATTTTATATATTATTAAAGTTGTATTTATAATTTAACAAGTGACAAAATTATAAATACATACAATAATTGATTCTTAAATCAGCTATATAAAGATATTATTATCCCAAGAAATTGATCATTTCGTATTTTCTCTTGTCCTCTCAAGAGTTTATACTTAATGGGGCATTTGGATGTGGGAATGTGAGATTCT